ATGTGCTTGACTGTATATGATTGTTCGGATGAGCTCTCTCAGTTATCTTGATAAAAGTATACCTCAACAACTTGCTATCTCGTTACAATCACGGATATATGATTAGTCTCTAGGTCATGTGGACTTACGTGAGTTCAGTAACTAGGCGAGTTTGGGAAGAGAATGTAAACTTATCCATCGACTTACTCTAGGAGATTTTGATCAAGGTATACATTACAATCCCATTCCATCGATCTATATTTCAAATTATGGATTCAGTGCGTGCGTGCGTACAACACAGAAGAAGTGTGCCACTTGCCAGGGTCTGATTGAACGAGGTTTAATATAAGAGACATGAATTGTGCATTGTTCATGTAGCAATCGAAGTAGATACTGATTACGACTCAAATCACGGTCGCAACCGAAGCACAGAATCGTACTAGCAATTGTACGCTGAAATCTCCCGTCATTGAGATGCAGGAAAAGGCCACAGAAGTAGCGGTTGGTTTATTGCAGAAAATCAACGAGATTAAATAACCTGTTAAACGGCCTATTTTTAGTCTTGACGTCATACAGCCTCTGTCTGGACCGCATGGCTTCTGATTGGTTGGCATGATTGGCCTATGTTTCGTTGTCCAGAAACTGTAACGCGTCGCTTAGTGGCTGGCGTGATCCCGTAGGTTAGGATCATCACAGTTCTTCTTCGTGATTGCAAAGTAACTGCATGCGATGAAGTGTGACTTCAGTCAATGCATATTTGTCCACCCGATATGTCCTCTTCATTATGGAATGACTTACTCTCAGGAAACAAAATTTTGTGCTCCATAACTTTATCTGAGTTGATTGGCAACAGCTGATACAGAACTCCCAGTGTGTTTTGTCTCGGCTTAGACTCTTCATCAAAGTGACTGTTTTATGCTACGCATGGCGTATGATCGTCAAATTAGTATCCGGACGAGAACAAGTTTGGCGTTCTTGTTGTCATTTCTTATCAGACCAGGATGTTTGAAAAGGTATATATATGTACAGATTGATTGTGTACTCTGTGTGTGTTGATCATAGAGGTTCACTTTCTTTACCTCCCTCCAATTAGGCCCAATCCCTCTTCAACACTCGATTTGTGTACACTGTGAGCTTGCCAGCGATCAGTTAAGTCCGCTTCAGTGTATCTCTCTGTATAATGATGATGATGATAATGATGATGATTCGGATGATGATGATGATGATGATGATGATGATGATGATGATGATGATGTTGATGATGATTCGGATGATGATGATGATGATGATGATGATGATGATGATGATGATGATGGGATGATGATTCGGATGATGATGATGATGATGATGATTCGGTTAATGATGATGATTCGGATGATGATTCGGATGATGATGATGATGATGATGATGATGATGATGAGATGATTAGGATGATGATTAGGATGATGATGATGATGATGATGATGATGATGATGATGATGATGATGATTTAATGATGATTCGGATGATGATGATGATGATGATGATGATGATGATGATGATGATGATGATGGTTGGTGATGATGACGATGATGATGATGATGATGATGATGATGATGATGATGATGATGATGATGAATGATTCGGATGATGATGATGATGATGATGATGATGGATGATGATGATGATGATGATGCGGATGACGATGATGATGATGATGATGATGATGATGATGATGATTATGACGATGATGATGATGATGATGATGATGATGATGATGATGATGATGATGATGATGATGATGTTCGGGTGATGAGAACAATGCAGCTATTTTGTGTTTTTGATTTTGGGTAAAATTTGTAATTCATAAAACAAATCCTTCAAAGCGTTCTTGTTGCGCGTAACATAATATTCACATGATCAATGATATTCCATGCACTAATCCAGTCAAGCGGCAATTTTCACCAGCTTATCGTCTCACGGGACGTGGGTTCGAATCCCTCTCCGCCATCGCCTGACATTTCTCATTTCCTCGTTGGCCACTTACTCCTTCCTGAAGGTTGTCGCGTTATACATTTAATAAAAGGAAGTAAACGAAACAGAACTCTGAAACTCTATTAGTAATGTATATCATAAAATATGATATTTTCATTGCTAAAATTGACTTCATTTTTATTCAATAACAAGGGTATGATCCATCTTTCGTAACCAGCAACGATCGATCAAATGCTGTTTGGAGGAAATGACGATGTGAGAAAGTCCGAACCCGACGGATGTAGCTCTACGGATACACACACACAAACAGAACATCATTTCGAGAACAGTTCAGAGAAACAAAAACCATCAGCTCACGCAAAATGTTCACCCATTGCGGATCGATAAAGTGGACATAACGCCGTTGAATTTACGTTTGAGGCGAACTCTCCCGCTTACACTTGAATAACACATCACGTGACGCAAAAAGGAGAAATATCATCGAGGGTAGTGGAGAAAAATTAGGTATGAAACAATTAGCCAACAGAAATTGTTTCAAATGTTGTCATTATTTTGCTTCACTGCTGTTCAGTGGCTCGGCATAACGCTCGGTGTATCGAACGAGAAACAAACTTACTAAAAGTAGTCCAGGTCTGAACAGAACAGGGACCGAAAATACGAACCGAGTGCAAGTGAATGACGGCTAATAGTCAATCTCAACAGGACTGATCGATTTGTGTGAGGTTGGATTTACACGTTCATGTTCACCACTACTACTTTGACAGGACCGACATGATGGCCAACATGATCAACGAAAGAAGTCCATTGATTTGGCACATTCACTACCCATAACGGTTGATTAACATCAGATGAAGGGAAATATCAGCACAATGTGAACCACATACAACAGTCGCGTGTGACAAAGGAAGCTGCAAAAAAAATATGACGATTGTATTTTTCACTTGTTAAGATGACAGAAGAAAATGAGGAATTTGGTCGTAAACGAAAATGCAATAACTATTACTCAATAACTGTTACATATGCCCAATTCCGCCTGTGATTGTTTCATGTAATTTAGCATTTTTTTATGCTTTCTTAATGTTACGTTTAGTTTTGTTTGATGAAATGACTGCTGCTCTCCATTCAGACAGGCAAGTGAACACTCAATGGGTGGATTGATCAATAAATTAACGATGTAATTTGTGAATTGACTATATTTGATGTACAACTACCACTACTACTAAGGAAAAGACATAGGTTAATTAAAGCTCACAAATAAAAATTGAGAATATAGGGGGATGATGGTGTGGTTCGAACCCATAACCGGTGAAACAAATAAGGTAGCCACATAAGTAGATAGATTTATCCATCTGACACACACCTTCTTTTGGGTCCATGAAGGTTTGGATACTGCCTCTGTGATTTTTCATCCCCCATTGTTATTTCTATTCCTCTCATTTAAATGAATGCTTCATAAAATGACAATATTTAACCATTTATTTGTTATTATTACTGTTATTATTATCATTGTATTTGGTTGGAGATTCTTCATACGAACTGCCACATCGAGTCATCGGAGTGTGTGCCTAACATAGGGCAGTAAGTACATAGCAGGCATTTCGTATAGAATGACTGCTGCATTTGAAGTAGACAATTTGTCACAACCAAGGAACGAAAATGCAAAATGTTCAAGGCCGCGTTTTCACTGGGATGAGTATAATTAACTTGTAACTATAAGTTGTTCATTGTATTCTATTGTATTGCATTACTTGTGCGAGCAACCCCACCCATAGTTCAGTTCAAACCCGTTTCAACCGTTACATTCGGATAAAAATGATGAAAAGTCATTTACTACTGTAATGCTTGGCAACCGCGCCAGTAATATTTTATAGTGAGCCCTTGTATCTTACTGGACCGTTTTTGGTTCATGGCGTTTTGTTTGCTTTGCCTTGCAGGTTTAACTTTCTTATCGCACACTATCTACGACCGAAAGGATTGCAAGTGTTACTTTGTTGTCGGTCCCATGCGGATGGCAAACAAGGGAGCATATTAGTTCTCGTGAACCATACCCTCGTTTCAACGAAGGCGCATCTGCTGCAGTCGGATCTCGCAACAACTGCTATTCTGCGTGGGTGCACACTGTTATTTGAACTCTCTCCCAAATAGGGAATACTAGTTCACACATTCAGACTGAAATGTGCCAATCTAACAACAATAATAACAACAACAACAACAGTTAGACCCAGATAGACCAAATTGTACACTGTGGTGCACAAGTGCGCGCAATACGTTAGATTCAGATGCACCCAAAATCTGTATCTGGATGAGGCATGTTGGTCAGTGGGATGTGGGGTTGGGCTCGTAGCGAGATGCCAGTAAGTTAGGCGACCATACCTCCAGGTGCTAATAGGGTCATATAATGTCCATCATAGTTCCTGACTCAATGCTCGAATATATTTTGCTCGTTCATTGATCGTTATATTTCCATGAGGAGAAAAAGTTCATCACTCAGGCTTGCGTCATATGACATTTACACTTAAAATTCTCTATCACGGGTTCGCGTGATAGGGACGTACGGGATAAAATGAAACACTGTCACATATTTTGTCATCGTTTTTGTTGCACAATCGGATTATCGCCGGTGGGGATTGAGGAATAAATTGTTTTCTTCCACTTGACCAAAAAGGCTTCCAAAAGCATCAGCATGGTCGGGGATGGGTGTCTTGGTTAGTGGCTGATCACCTTCCCCGTTGCACCTCATGAAATGCTCCCATACGACAAAGCGTCCCGACTGGCCTCTGCTGAGGATGCCCTAATCACTGCCTTCCCATGGAGAAGGTGTTTTCCCACGAAAAGCCAATATCTGGGGCTATAACCGAGTCGGTGAACCACTGACAGTTCACCTATAAGACTTGGCTAAAAACCCTGATTCCAAACCAACCAACCTCCATTGGGCATCGAGGTGTGTCGGGCACCTTGGATGCTTGACCCCATCTAAAGGGCGTACGACAAGATGAACTGGGCGCCGGGCCCCAATGAATTGCTGTTTTCACACACCCGCAGCCTTACGAGTCAGGCTTTAGCTAGCCGAAGGCTCCGGTTGTGAACTCCCTAAGAAAGTTCACCTGCTTTGGCCTGAACAACCTGACAGTCCACAAACAAATCATGGAAAGAATATTGCACTATGATTTGTTTGGCACAGCCTGGAGTCAGACGCGTGTGAAATACACACACACATACACACATCCTTGACTAAAAAAGGGCAATTTGTGGTTCACATATGAAGTTCACATGCTGAACAAGCCCGAGTCGATCAACGGATTAATATGGCTATTCGTCCAGTGATGTAATCAGATCGATAGTCTTATGTGACTTGGTAGTTGTGGTCTGAACGTAACCACTATTTCTCACCATAAAACTACTTCCTCATCTTTGCTAAAATGCAAATTAATGCGACGATATGGGAAGCCAATCCGATCGATTGCCAGAACCCTTATGCGGTAATCGGTGTACTACTCGCGCTAGAATGAGGCCAACTCGGATTTGGACTACAAACTTAGAGTCCGTCAGCATCAAGATCAGTTGCCGACAGAGTTATGTCTATTTAGAAACCCATGTAACTAAACATCATAAGTCCCAAACGCTTGTTGATACATTCTTTGTGGTCCAGTAGCTATTAGTATGGTTCGAATGTTAACTTTTCAACACTCAGTCGGTTAAATTATGTGCTTGGGCTCGCCAGAATGTTGGGGCTCATTGTGTCTAGGGTTGGCTTCCTGAAAGCTGTATTGTTGCGCAATTGCCACAATTTAATGCCGGTATGAAATTTGTGAGATGCTAGATTCTCTGTTTTGTGAAGGATGACCAATGTAACCGGGAATGCGTTGGAGGCCAACGTTTTTGGGGCCCAACGAATAAATGGGTCTACTTATGTTGGCTGGATATGTTGCCAGAATCAGTTAGAATGCACCTCTGAAAAACCATCTGCTCACTCAGCTGTCTGACATCACAATGTGGACCCTTGTAGTAAGATCAAAGTCAAAGTTTTATTATGTGCATTACTTACAAGCAGATGCTTTTCTTGTTCCATAAATTTATTTACACGAACTGAACTGTAACAATAATGAATAAAATTTCATATGCTGTATTCGGTTGTGTTATGTGTGCTCATGGATGTTGGAATGTAATGNAAACGACATGAGATGGTGAGGAATTCCAGGCAGTGCACACTCTGACGGCGAAGGAATGACATCAACAGTCCAGTGGAGATTTTTGGAGTGGTAACTTGAATGGATGTCTCCGCAGATGAACGTTTGATGAAAACGTCAAAAGTGGGCGACAAGGGTG